CAGAAATAGATGAAGTGTTCCGGTGGAAGGTAGAGCGTTTGGGAGACGAGGGTACTCGGGTTGAATTCCAGAAGGGGCTGGCTGGTAGTGTGGAACCCTTCAGAACACTGCTGAGAAGCGTCGGAGACGGACAGGTAGACGTACAAGCAGCAAGGGACAGGGTGATTGAAGGGTGGGAGTCCATCGTGAACGCAACGGCAGAGAGAGTAGTGGGAACGAAGGTGGTACGATGTGGGGTATCGGTGAAGTGGTGGGATGACGAGCTGAAAGAAGAAATAGGGGAACGTAGAGAAGTCTTCAAGCAGTACCTGAGTGAGGCGTCTGAGGAGAGTTGGGAAAAGTACAGGGCCAAGAGAAAACAGGTGAAGGGACTAGTGAAAAAGAAGAAAAAGTGTATTTGGGACGAAGTAGTGCAGAAGGCCAACGGGGGCCTGGAGGGGAACGTCAAGCAGGTGTGGGAAGGGATTAGTGGAATGGTAAAAAAGACGGCGCAAGGGGGGGATACAGTGGTAGCAGCTTTACGAGGTGTGAACGGTGGATTAGTCCCAGTACATATGAACCGAAGAATTTCTTGAAACGTGCATATGATCAGTTGTGCATTGGTTCCGGAGGTATATTGCTGTGGTACGTAGGAGTCACGTTAGATGTGCAATTGAGCTGGGCTGTTTTTCTTCGTGTATCCCGGTGCACATCTCAGTCTCGTCACAGTCGTTGCCCCCTCGTGTGGGTTTCTGCAGTCCTCCGTGCGATCCGTGTCCCTTGATGTTGTCGTGCTGCACTTTTCCTTGTTTGTGAAGGCGGGGTATTCACGTTCCTTCGGCCGACTTGTGTCGAAAACGGTCAAGGTCGGGCTTGATTGCGGGCTTTAGCCAGATCGAGAGAGGCTGTTTTCCAAAATGTACGTAATCAGTTTCGAGAACTGAAAGAACCCCCGATGTGGCCTTGAAATACAGCATCTGCAGCAGTTCCAGACTGCTGTAACAGCGATGCTCCGACGGGGTGTGGTATCCAACGCACTGCACTCGATACTCTGTTCCACACGCAACAACCAAAACCACGGTTCGGAGAGCGGGAGATCACTCTCTCTTTGCTCACATGTTTGTATGTGATAGCTACATCTACCCCCGGTGAGGTCTTCTCGGCGCTTGAGGGCACGCCAATAGACCAATGGACCACGCCAACGAACCACGGCGGCAGTGCGAGTAGAACCACGTGCGTAGAGAAGCCCAAGTAGAACCCAGGTCACAGCAGCAACGCACAACCTTCTCGTGTATCCAACAACGAATTCAATACAATCTTGTTACCCCCACCATCGCGCCACCCGTCGAACATACAGGCGCAATGATTCCTTCGTGGACAAGGTGTTCCTGTTCGCGACCACGGTCGGTACCTGGGACCCCTCCCCTACCCCGCCGCTGTCGCGCCTTCCGTCGGCCGAGGATGACCCCCCCGGTTTTCCACCGACCATCATCCCGCCCCTGTGGCGCGTGGAGGATGCGGCGGCTGCTGCGGCCGAAGAGCAACAACGGCCGCGCGAAAACTGGCTGAAGAGCATCGTCGCCGCCATCATGGTGGCCGTTCGCTTCCTCGTTGGCCCCAACGGCCAGAGGGCGAGGCAGGGATGCCGGGGCGACGACGACGACGACGACGACAACCACGCCCCCGCCCGACGCGCTACGTGGCGGGAGCGAGCCGCAGCTGCCGCGCGTAGGTTTCTGCGCTCAGCGAGAAACAAGATCAAAAATGCCGAGGACCGCCTCCACGCCATGTTCGACATCTCCGTCGCGAAGAGAACCGCTCGACTGTTGGACCTGGCGCGCAAGATAACCGTGCAGGACATGCCGCGCCGGGCGGGGTTCAGACGCCAAGGCAGCGATGAGCTCTTTGAGATCGATCGTAGCCGCCTGGGAGTGAGCGATGCCGTCGCCGCCGCTGTGAAGGATATTTGCACCAAGTTGGCGGCGGTATTCCCTGTCATCGGGTATAACCAGGTACGCGGGGTGCCGTAGGACTGTTCTGACCCGGATCCTTGCCCGACCGTTGGCGCGAGATGGCTGTCCGAGTGGCTGCGGAATTATGTAGTTTCTTGCGGTTCGACATATCTGTGGATCTTGTTCCCCGATCGGTGCTCTCTGTTGCTTGGTGGATTTCCAAAGCGTTTACTTTCTCTGCCCGCTACTACCCTATCCTACAACAGCTCATGTTGCAGTGTATCTGCCGCGGGTGGAGCCAGCATTTATTGGCGTGTTCGTTCAACTGATCCTGACCGTACCCACACCGCCCCCGCCTTAACACCGCGCCCCAGGGCTTTGACGCATCCTGTAAGGCGATCTTCATCTGTGTGGGCGGAAACTTGGGTGGCCGCCGCCGTTTTCACCAAGTGGGCCGTTCCCTTGGCCTCGATGATGATGAACCCAAACAGGCACGGCCAGTTCGGCCTCAACACTGTGAGCATCTCAGCAGACTGTTGCTGCGTGACGTGTGCTATAGACGTATCGTGCTGACGTAGTGGTGCAACGTGTGTACACCTCAGAAATGAGCGGGGATGCTTTCAGCCGACGGAGGGAGAGGGACGACGGCTGAACCCACCCTGACTCTGATGATAAACGATTGGTCAACAGTGAAAAATGGAGCACACAACGGCATGTACCGCCGGCGATGGGTGTTTATTAACCGTATCGTCAGCGAAATATCGGGAGGTAAGGTTTACCTGTGGATGACGGCCCATGTGCCTCCCGTACATGACCGCCTGACACTACGACGGCAAAATGAGTTTNTACTTTTCGACAAGATGGCGCCGTAGTTGTCACCATGCATGCATGCGACGACCGAACACGTGCCCATCTCCACTTGCCTCTCCGTGTGCCCCATTCTCCGTACTTACGCTGGCACCCCTTGCTGCACTTGTCCAATCTTCCTCTTCTTCTCCTGTCGCTGCTGCCAGGCCGCTCTCGACCTTCTGCTCCAGGCTGGGTCTCCCCCAGTGTGTCATCAACGACATCGTGGAGTAGACGATGCGGGCTGGCATTCACGGCCCGACGGTCACGATATTCGTCATTATGTCTCTTCTCTGCTTGGCGGAGAAGCAGGGGGCGGAGGACGCCGACGTGGTAAGCGAAGGCCGTTGCAGTAGGAGTAGATTGCCATTGACGGCCGCGTCTCACCGGTACCTGTTCCAGTTACCGTCGTCGTGTCTTTACCGCACCCCTTCCCCGGCTGGTTCTGTACCGTGCCGCCCAGCACTTGATAATTGTTTCGTCCATCTTGAGAAGGAAACTGAACGAGAAGGATGCAACCTCGACGCTCCTCCCCCTCGTCGCCCTCTCCCTAGCTTTTTGGTTGTTTGCGAGGAGAGCAGAAGCCGACTGTGTTCCAAGGTACGCATTTCATCAAGTTCATCATGAAAATACTGTGTACGTACGTGACCGCTTTTCGTAACACACGCACTTGCGTCTGTACCTCTTTCCCATCGGTACAGGTGGTGATGGTGAAGGTCCCCCTGATGGCCGCAGCAAGCAGCGTGAAGTCCTTCCAGGACATCTTGGAGCACGCCCCGGTGTCGCTCGAGCACTTCTTGACTGGGTACCGAGCCGCAATGGTCGGAGTACCGGCGTGCAACGACTGCGTAGAGCCGGTATAGAGCATCTCCGTCCTTTTTTTGTGGTAAACATTTGACCAGCAGGTGTTGCAAGCGGTACAGCGTAGAGTGCACTAAGATGCGAGCTGTTTGCATCAGCTCGCGTGGCGATAACAACATGTTCTTGTATTATGTAACGGTTGTAGAATGGGCCTTTACTTTTATGGATCATTGTGCCTCAGCCCTCCTCGAGACATAGTCTCTGGTGTCTGTGTCGATCGCTCGGGGTCGTACGCGTATCGTGTCTTGCTTGGTCCAGTCGAAACCATCTTGTGTCCTCGCGGCTGCGCTGAGCGTACCTGTTGTGCACCTTTGTTGCACGTTGTGTTGAAAGACATTGGGAATAAGCTGTTGGTTTGTGTTCGTGCTTAACCGTCCCAGTACATGTGAACCGAAGCATTTCTTGAAACGTGCATACGATTAATTGTGCATTGGTTCCGGAGGTATATTGCTGTGGTACGTAGGAGTCACGAGAGGTGTTGTATTTGAGGTGGGCTGTTTTTCGTTGTGTAGTCTATCCCGGTGCACATCTCAGTCTCGTCAAAGTCGTTGCCCCCTCGTGTGGGTTCTGCAGTCCTCTGTGCGATACATGTCCCTTGATGTTGTCGTGCTGCACTTTTCCTTGTTTGTGAAGGCGGGGTATTCGCGTTCCTTCGGCCGGCTTGAGTCGAAAACGGTCAAGGTTGGGCTTGATTGCGGGCTGTAGCTAGATCGAGAGAGGCTGTTTTCCAAGAAGTACGTAATCAGTTTCGAGAACTGACACAACCCCCGATGTGGCCTCGAAATACAGCGTCTGCAGCAGTTCCAGACTGCTGTAACAGTGGTGCTCCGACGGGGTGTGGTATCCAACGCACTGCACTCGATACTCTGTTCCACCCGCAACAACCAAAACCACGGTTCGCAGAGCGGGAGATCACTCTCTCTTTGCTCACATGTTTGTTTGTGATACATCTACCCCCGGTGAGGTATGCTTCTCGCGGTGACTGTTGTATTTTCCCTCGTCTCGAGCAATGATGCATCGCATGGCGCTGCTACATGGACGGCAGTCTATAGATATCGATGATCGATATCATGATAATGACTGGGGGACTGGGCTCTCTGATCACGCGAGAAACAGAAAGTGAGCCCCCTCAACATATGATGACCCTCTTTCCACGGAAGAAATGCAAAGCAACTCTTCGTTAATTAATGAGTTTCTACCGTACTTGGCGATCCGGACGATGAGCACATCTGCTGGTTAGTCTACTCTCCCACCCCGCCATTCGTTCTCTATCTTCCGCTTGTCAGTCATACCGATTGGTGGCAGACGACGACCGAACAAAGGAGTGCGCCCCAACACACACAAGGAACACATTCAGCACGAAAAGAAGGACATGCATACGTGTAGCACAAACAAGATAGAAACCGACGACCGACTGGGTAACAACTACTATTAAACTGCCGTACGACGAGACATGGAGACGTGCACCAGGATACATACACGATTGAAAACAGCCCCCCTGACAGCACCTCGAGCAAATACACACCGGTGACTCCAACGTACAACACCGCAACGTCACTCCGAAACAACGCACAACAGGCGTGTGAGTGCACCTAGACCAAAGCATCTTTCGTTTCACATGAAGTGAACGGTCAAGCGGAAATACCAACTCATTCCCAGGGTGTACAACAAGCCAAGCACGCTCAGCGCACCCACGAGGATACCAAAGCGAGCCCTTTCGTGGTTTGGACGGCTGCACCAAGCAAGATGCAATATACATACACATACGACCCGAGAGCGAGCGATACACGTGGCCGTCGCCAGAATAGCGGGGTCTTCTTTCAAGGCCCTCGAGGAACACGCTCCGGTGACGATGGCGGATTCATTGGGTATCTATCGAGGCGTATTGCTCGGCATTCCGGCCTGCAGCAACTGGATAGAGCAGGTGTAAAATGGCTCGATCGAGAGAGGGACACGTGAAATTGAGAGGACCAGGCGTTGAAGTGCAACACGAGGGCAGGTGTACACGCGTTGCTTGCACCAGCTCGCGGTATGTGTGACGATCCGATATTTTTCTCCTTCTGATAATGCCAGGCCGCTGTCAACGCTCTGCTCCAGGCTGGGCCTGCCCAAGTCTGTCATACACGACATCGCAGAGGAGACGATGAAGGCTGGCGTGCACGGACCGGCGGTGACGATCTTCGTCGTGATGTCTCACCTCCGCTGGGCGGAGAACCCCCCGTTTCTCCTCCAAGCAGAGTAGAGACATGACATCAAAGTCGCCACCGCCGGACGTGCACGCCAGCCTTCATGGTCTCCTCGATGATCTCGTGCATGACACACCCCTCGGTAGGCCAGGCCGGGTGCACAAGGTCGGCCGCGGCCTGGAACCAGGAGCGGGAGAAGAAGAGGAACCTTGGACAAGTACAACGAGGGATGCACAAGTACGATCATCGTTAACAAGGCAAGGCGAGAGACGAAGATATGTCCAGTTGACGAGTGCATGATGTTTCTTCGACGTAACATTTACGGTGTCGTCGTGAAAAAGCAATGGCGCATCCGTACGGAGATTAGTATTCGTACGGAACTTAGTATTTGTGTAGCATATGCGTCCTAAAGCAAGCAATTATGGCAACCTAGCCACAGGCATGGACTCACTCCAAGAATATGTGCTCGAGATTGTTCTCGGTCATTTCGTCGTCCGCGTCGCATCCCACAATCCGGTCTCTCGGGACGGTCATCCCGATACCGAAGCGGCGTACCTCTTCATGACGGACCAGGTGTAGCCCAACTCGTGAACAGCGGGAAGGGGTCGTACGTGTGCACTTCATGTGGAATACCGTCATGTTCTAAGGCGACCATATACAGGAAGCCCGTGAGCCGTTCGTCCACCACAGGTAAACTCTACCTCACGGCACTTTGCTTACGATACGACTAATGAACACACACCTCGGGCGGAACATGCTGTCGTGCGCTACGTGTTTTCACTGTTGATTGCATCGGTGTTTCAGCACCAAAATCACGGTGGGCTCAGCCTTCCGGCCCTCCTTCCCTCGGCTGGAGGAGTCACCACTCAATTCTGAGTTGCACACACATTCCACCGTTAAGTCAGGGCTGGCGTCTATCATCACATGTCACGCGGCAGTCTGTTAGTGCTCACCGCGTTGACCGCGCGCTGGCCGCCGTGGTACGCGTTCATCATGAGCCAAGACAACGGGACAGCCCACTTCCGAAACACTTGGGCGGCCTCAACAATGTTTCGGCCCAAACACAGGAAAACCGGAATTGCGGACGGCCTCAAAACCCTGGGGCGCGATGGTCTGGCGGGGTGGTGGGTTCAGCCAAGGTTGTACTGGCTGCACCCACTTCCCCCTCCAGAATACCGCACCCCAGGCCTTTGACGCCGCTTGCAAGTTGATTTTCCTGTGCGTGGGCGGAAACATTGTTGCGGCCGCCCAAGTGTTTCGGATAGAGGGTTTTTCCCTTTGAATGCTGGCTGAACCCATGTGTGTGTGTGTGTGTTTTCGTCCCGTGGCAGATACAACCACACATGAAGGTGTTGTAGACGATGTAGTAGTGTAGCGGGTAGAGTAAGTGAACCGCCACAGAGAGCATCGATCGGGGAACAAGATCGATCCTTAGACAAAGCAACCAACGCCAGAGCGGCCCGGACACCCGTCGCCAAAGGTGGGGAGGGTAAGAATCTGGACCAAGACATTCCTACGGCACCCTGCAGCCTCACCATTTTCTAGTTGGTATCCAACCTCGGGGGGGTTGGATAAGAAACCTTCGCGTCGAGCTAACTTGGCAAACGAGGCCGCGGTTGATCCCTGCATCCGGTCGAGCCATGGCTACCAGGTTGCGTCCAGTCGGAGATCAAAGGTACTATGGTCGATGCCTGAGGTGGGCGGTAGGCTGTGCAGGGTGTGCAGGACCTCACACGCATGGTTGCTTTGCATGAATGCCTGAGATTCTGTGCCCGGTGTACGTTGCACAAACTACGCTGCAGGTGTGGATCGTTTCGTCGCGAAGGGTACAGCAGTGACTAAACCGCGTTATCTCGCCGCATGTTGAAAATTTGTGTGTCGTGCGCCGTCGTGACTCCGTTCTTGTTCTTGCTTCCTTGCGTGACGCTACTCGTACGGTTGGTTGTTGAGCGTACGTGGTGATTGGTAGGATCGCTACATGATCGCTGGAGGCGAAGGTGTTTTTGCTTGGGTAGCGAGACTTTCGCGCGAAGCATGTGTTTGGAGTTTGGAGTTTGAGGCGGCGCAATTAAATTGGGTTGGCCCGAATGGTAACAAACGCTGCTGTTGTTCTTCCATCCGTCGTGAGAGAGGCACAACACGGTATGGAGGCACAAAGGTATGGCTCCACGCATGTACTCTGGATTGAAGCCTTGTAGACCTGTTGAGATGATAGTCTCTGTGCTGTTCTGGACATGCAGCGCACAGAGAGTATCCCCACAACAAATTTGAATGACGACGAAACTAACTGCCGTCAAATATATCGAACATCGACCACGTAGACTACGCTTCGTAGACTAGTCTATATCACATGCATAGACGATTGTAGTACATAGGAACAGGTCAACGATCTTTCTCACGCTTGACGGATTGATTGTTTTTTGCATACTATACCTGTGTGTAGATCCGTCGTCACGTTTATATGAGAAACACGCTCGACAACAGACGGGGTTCGCGCGAGATTTCTCCCATTTCATTGACCAGGAGGGGGGGGAGGACATATCACCGCACCTCACATCAAACACTCACACGCTCACACGTGATTTCCCTAGCCTGCAGAAATCACTCCTAGGCATCAACTGCAGCTCTGCCACTTCCAACAGGTGAACAGCTAGCGCGTACTACGCGTGACAGTCGAGCGCGTACTACGCGTGACATGTGTTGTCGACCTACATAGTTTGTGTGCAGCTTAGCTCGCCTTTGAAAGCAAGCCTGTTCGGACAATTGGAGTCTCTTCATGATGCAGATCAGTCTGTATGTATACATAGCCTAGCTCGCCAAGAGCCAGTAACACGTGATTCGTTATTCAGAAGACGCCTGAATACCTGGCCTGCTGTTTCTCGCTTCAATGAGTCATCTGACAAGTCCCGTGTCTCGATTCAACGAGGCATTTGACCGACAACGATATTTTCTCAGTTCAAGTCCCCGACCACGTATGCAGATCCAACCATGCGCGCCCAGCCCTCTCGTACCCTCTTGCCCACCTGCTCACAATTTCCACAGCCTCAGTGGACCACATTGTCAATCTGCACTGAAATCGACTTGACAACGGAAAAACACAACAGGTGAGTGAGGCAGGTGGCGCAAGAATACAGATTAGGGGAGCACCACAGAGGAAGTGACGGGATCATCCACTACTGACTGTAAACGAGAGGGAACAAGCAATGGTCGATGCCTCCGGACGTCGTATCGCGGCTGTAGTAGCCGAGAGCTCAGTGCTCGTGCCCAAGATTGAAGAAATAGTCTAGTGCGGTAAATACAACGCTCAACGACATTCAGTCAGGGTGACGAAGAGGAAGTTGCACGGAGATTCCCCTCTTGCACGAGTGCCACAGCCACGGGCAATCAATCAATTGTTAAATATCGCCGGGGGTAGGCAACCACTGCGTTGTGGGTCGTCGTCTAGGTAGCGCTTGGACCTGTTGTAGCTCACGGCATTGACCTCGCCGAGTCTGCCCTATCCGACCGTGCAACTAACTTCCGCTGTGCCCGCTTCCTCCGTGCATTTATCGATCTGTTTTCTGTTGTTCTCTGCAGATAAGTGTGACACATTTCGCGACAAAACATGTACGCTTCTCTCTTTACGAGAATGATCATCATCGCGGCGTTGGCGGTAAGCGCCTTCTCCGTATCATCCCCAAGTCACGAGGTGTCCTCGGGTACCGCACCAGGGTGAGTCACACTGACTGGGGTTGATAGTCAAGCCGACCCGCCCGTCTCCACTTCGAGCCTATATTTTGCCGAATATACACCTCTCGCGCGCATAGCTTGAGACAGTTGCGATTCGTTGTTTTGGATGAATGTGAGATCGTTGCCCTTGGTGTCCTTCAATGGCACAAGCAGGGTGCTCAATCGAACACTGCAATTCGCACCATGTAGACTACTGCCGACTGTAGCCCAATCAATGGCGAGGATCATCAGGTCGGATTAATGACAGAAAAGAAAAATGAGAACCGTCATGACAGTGTGCTGCATGTGTTTTTCCGCAAGTATTTCGTCCCATATACTCTTGTCGGTGCTCGCAGTATCAACCCCCCGTGTGGTAGGAGCACTCTTGTCCCGGGGTCTCACGCAGACGGTTCCTCTGAGGGTGCATGCCGTCAGCGTTAGGTCAATACTGTATGTGCCCACGAATCCTCTGCCCCCTGTCAACAACAGCTGCAACTCGAAATAGGTGTACTTCACGTAGAAGCACTGCTAACGCGGCGTCCCGGCGACATTCGAACGCGTAACATTGTCTTCTCGGCGCTTGAGGGCACGCCAACAGACCAATGGACCACGCCAACGAACCACGGTGGCAGTGCGAGTAGCACCACGTGCGTAGAGAAGCCCAAGTAGAACCCAGGTCACAGCAGCAACGCACAACCTTCTCGTGTATCCAACAACGAATTTAATACAATCTTGTTACCCCCACCATCGCGCCGCCCGTCGAACGTACAGGCGAAACGATTCCTTCGCGGACAAGGTGTTCCTGTTCGCGACCACGGTCGGTACCGGGGACCCCTCCCCTACCCCGCCGCTGTCGCGCCTCCCGTCGGCCGAGGAAAACCCCCCCGTATTACCACCGACCATCATCCCGCCCCTGTGGCGCGTGGAGGATGCGGCGGCTGCTGCGGCCGAAGAGCAACAGCGGCCGCGCGAAAGCTGGCTGAAGAGCATCGTCGCCACCATCATGGTGGCCGTTCGCTTCCTGGTTGGCCCCAACGGCCAGAGGACGAGGCAGGGATGCCGGGGCGACGACGACGACGACGACAACCACGCCCCCGCCCAACGCGCTACGTGGCGGGCGCGAGCCGCAGCTGCCGCTCGTAGGTTTCTGCGCTCAGCGAGAAACAAGATCAAACACGCCAAGGACCGCCTCCTCGCCATGTTCGACATCTCCGTCGCGAAGAGAACCGCTCGACTGTTGGACCTGGCGCGCAAGATCAACGTGCAGGACATGCCGCGCCGAGCGGGGTTCAGACGCCAAGGCAGCGATGAGCTCTTTGAGGTCGATCGTAGCCGCCTGGGAGTGAGCGATGCCGTCGCCGCCGCTGTGAAGGAGATTTGCACCAAGTTGGCGGCGGTATTCCCTGTCATCGGGTATAACCAGGTACGCGGGGTGCCGTAGGACTGTTCTGGCCCGGATCCTTGCCCGACCGTTGGCGCGAGATGGCTGTCCGAGTGGCTGCAGAATCATGTAGTTTCTTGCGGTTCGACGTATCTGTGGCACAAGAGGATCTTGTTCCCCGATCGGTGCTATCTGTTGCTTGGTGGATTTCCAAAGCGTTTACTTTCTCTGCCCGCTACTACCCTATCCTACAACAGCTCATGTTGCGGTGAATCTGCCGCGGGTAGAGCCAGCATATATTGTCGTGTTCGTTCAACTGATCCTGACCGTACCCACACCGCGCCCCAGGGCTTCGACGCCTCCTGTAAGGCGATCTTCATCTGTGTGGGCGGAAACCTGGGTGTGGCCGCCGCCGTTTTCACCAAGTGGGCCGTTCCCTTGGCCTGGATGATGATGAACCCATACAGGCACGGCCAGCTCGGCATCAACACTGTGAGCACCTCAGCAGACTGTTGCTGCGTGACGCGTGCTATAGACGTATCGTGCTGACGTAGTGGTGCAACGTGTGTACACCTCAGAATTGAGCGGGGATGCTTTCAGCCGACGGAGGAAGAGGGACGACGGCTGGACCAAGCCTGATCCTGGTGATGAACGATTGATATCGTCAACAGTGAAAAATGGAACACACAACGGCATGTACCGCCGGCGATGGGTGTTTATTTACCGTATCGTCAGCGAAATATCAGGAGGTAAGGTTTACCTATGGATGACGGCCCATGTGCCTCGCGTACATGACCGCCTGAAACTATTACGACGGCAAAATGAGTTCGCCCTACTGCTGGTTTACGTCTTGCCATTGCTTTTGAGCAGGCCATGCGATACACCTGGTCGGTGATCAAAATGCACGCCGCTCCGGTGTCCGGATGGCTGTGCCGCGACCCGATCGTTGGCTGCGACGAGGACAACGAGATGGCGGACACGATTCTCGCACACATCTTCATGGAGTGAGTCCACGCTTGTATGGTGTACATGTACTTTGACATATCTGCTTGGTTTCGGAAGCAAAGGCGGAGCTCAGTACGGATGCGTCATACTTTTCGACAAGATGGCGCCGTAGTTGTCACCATGCATGCATGCGACGACCGAACACGTGCCCATCTCCACTTGCCTCTCCGTGTGCCCCATTCTCCGTACTTACGCTGGCACCCCTTGCTGCACTTGTCCATTCTTCCTCTTCTTCTCCTGTCGCTGCTGCCAGGCCGCTCTCGACCTTCTGCTCCAGGCTGGGCCTCCCCCAGTGTGTCATCAACGACATCGTCGAGGAGACGATGCGGGCTGGCGTTCACGGCCCGGCGGTCACGATATTCGTTGTTATGTCTCTTCTCTGCTTGGCGGAGAAGCAGGGGGCGGAGGACGCCGACGTGGTAAGCGAAGGCCGTTGCAGTGGGAGTAGATTGTCATTGCCGGCCGCGTCTCACCGGTACCTGTTCCAGTTACCGTCGTCGTGTCTTTACCGCACCCCTTCCCCGGCTGGTTCTGTACCGTGCCGCCCAGCACTTGATAATGGTTTCGTCCATCTTGAGAAGGAAACTGAACGAGAAGGATGCAACCTCGACGCTCCTCCCCCTCGTCGCCCTCTCCCTAGCTTTTTGGTTGTTTGCGAGGAGAGCAGAAGCCGACTGTGTTCCAAGGTACGCATTTCATCAAGTTCATCATGAAAATACTGTGTACGTACGTGACCGCTTTTCGTAACACACGCACTTGCGTCTGTACCTCTTTCCCATCGGTACAGGTGGTGATGGTGAAGGTCCCCCTGATGGCCGCAGCAAGCAGCGTGAAGTCCTTCCAGGACATGTTGGAGCACGCCCCGGTGTCGCTCGAGCACTTCTTGACTGGGTACCGAGCGGCAATGGTCGGAGTACCGGCGTGCAACGGCTGGCCTGGGTAGAGCCGGTATAGAGCGTCTCCGCCCATTCTCCGTGATAAACATATGACCAGCAGGTGTTGCAAGCGGTACAACGTAGAGTGCACTAAGATGCGAACTGTTTGCATCAGCTCGCGTGGAGATAACAAAATGTTCTTGTATTCTGTAACGGTTGTAGAATGGGCCTTTACTTTATGGATAATTGTGCCTCAGCCCTCCTCGAGACATAGACTAGTCCGTGGTGTCTGTGTCGATCGGTCGGGGCCGTACGCGTATCGTGTCTTGCTTGGTCCAGCCGAAACCATCTTGTGTCCTCGCGGCTGCGCTGAGCGTACCTGTTGTGCGCCCTTGTTGCACGTTGTGTTGTGAAACACATTGGGAATAAAGTGTTGGTTTGTGTTCGTGCTTGACCGTCCCAGTACATGTGAACCGAAGAATTTCTTGAAATGTGCGTATGATCAGTTGCGCATTGCCTCCGGAGGTATATTGCTGTGGTACGTAGGAGTCACGAGAGGTGTGCATTTGAGCTGGGCTGTTTTTCTTCGTGTATCCCGGTGCACATCTCAGTCTCGTCATAGTCGTTGCCCCCTCGTGTGGGTTTCTGCAGTCCTCCGTGCGATCCGTGTCCCTTGATGTTGTCGTGCTGCACTTTTCCTTGTTTGTGAAGGCGGGGTATTTGCGTTCCTTCGGCCGGCTTGCGTCGAAAACGGTCAAGGTTGGACTTGATTGCGGGCGATAGCCAGATCGAGAGAGGCTGTTTTCCAAAATGTACGTAATCAGTTTCGAGAACTGACACAACCCCCGATGTGGCCTCGAAATACAGCATCTGCAGCAGTTCCAGACTGCTGTAACAGCGATGCTCCGACGGGGTGTGGTATCCAACGCACTGCACTCGATACTCTGTTCCACGCGCAACAACCAAAACCACGGTTCGGAGAGCGGGAGATCACTCTCTTTGCTCACATGTTTGTATGTGATAGCTACATCTACCTCCGGTGAGGTATGCTTCTCGCGGCGACTGTTGTATTTTCCCTCGTCTCGAGCAATGATGCATCGCATGGCGCTGCTACATGGACGGCAGTCTATAGATATCCACGATCGATATCATGATAGACTGGGGGGCTGGGCTCTCTGATCACGCGAGAAACAGAAAGTGAGCCCCCTCAACAGGTGATGACCCTCTTTCCACAGAAGAAATGCAAAGCACCTCTTCGGTTGATTAGACTTATGAGTTTCTACCGTGCTTGGCGATCCGGACGATGAGCACATTTGCTGGTTAGTCTACTCTCCCACCCCGCCATTCTTTATCCATCTTCCGTTTGTCAGTCATACCGATTGGTGGCAGACGACGACCAAACAAAGGAGTGCGCCCCAATACAAACAAGGAACACATTCAGCACGAAAAGAAGGACATGCATGCTTGTAGCACAAACAAGATAGAAACCCACGACCGACTGGGTAACAGCTACTATTATACTGCCGAACGACGAGACATCGAGACGTACACCAGGATACATTAACGATTAAAAACAGCCCTCCTGACAGCACCTCGAGCAAATACACACCGGTGACTCCAACGTACAACACCGCAACGTGACTCCGAAACAACGCACAACAGGCGTGTGAGTGCACCTAGACCTAAACATCTTTCGTTTCACATGAAGTGGACGGTCAAGCGCGAACACCAACTCATTCCCAAGACGTACAACAAGCCAAGCACGCTCAGTGCACCCACGAGGATACCAAAGCGAGCCCTTTTGTGGTTTGGACGGCTGCACCAAGCAAGATGCAATATACACATACGACTCGAGAGCGAGCAAAAGTATTCGGTAAGCTGCTGAACGATAGGATAGTGGGAGTATTGTAGGAACATAGCATTAGTGAGGGTCAGGCAGGTTTCCGAAGAAGAGCGGGTGCGTAGACCACGTGTTCACGTTAGGGAGAATCATCCAATGTAGAAAGAGGGCGGGAAAACCGACGTACTGCTTCTTCCTGGACGTGAAAAAGGCATGCGACACCGTATGGAGAAATGGGTTGTGGAATCAACTGTCCAACTTCGGGATCAAGGGGAAAATGTGCAGAGTGCTGAAGAAGATGACAGAGTGTACGAAAAGCGCGGTCGTGTTAGACGGAGAACTGTCTAAAGTCTTCGACAGATTGAGCAGGAGGTCCCACAAGGTTGCACGCTGTCCCCACCATTGTTCCAGGTGTTCATCAACGATCCGTTGAAAGTCGTAGAGGCAG